TAAGTTTCTAAACTCCTATCATCGTTTGTCTGCTTATTTTTTTTTGGCTTTAATCCCAATGATTGATAGCTGGTTTCCGCGCAGAAGTTTAATTAAATAATTTTTTCTTTTTTGTAAGCCAGTAGGACCAACCAGAATGTTCTGCCGAAAACCAAAACCAAGGTTCATGCAAGGTCTCTTGCTCATCGTTGTAGGAAACTTTTCAATGCGCTTCAAGAGAATCGGCTTATGCCGACTAACTGTTTCATTCATTGAAAAAGAGGTGCTTAGATTGGTGCATGAACTGAAATATCTTTCCTTGAAATTTACGAAACGACTATCTGACGAAAGTTTTTTTTATCAGTGAAGTTGTTTTAACCCAAGCAATGGTACCAACTCAAACATCAAGCGCTGCTTTGCATGGCAGCCCGTGGTTTCAAAATGCCCCAAAAATTGCTTAAATTTGAGTTTGAAAGACAGTTTTTTGATATTCGAAATTACCCTCTTCGTAGATTCTTAACCCCTCGGCTTCAATCATGGTTATTTTTTTGTGAAAGTAAGTGACTTGTAATCGGTAACTGGACTTTTTGCCGTAATTATTTTCCTCCCATCTGCACCTCAACTGGTACAGGCAATGGCTTTGACACTATCAAATTCTTAGAACTTGAAACGAAATGAGTCTCCCTCCGGGATTTCGTCTTCCTTTCCGAGGGAGCTGTGAAGGTCATGACGCTAGTTTCTGCACTATTTTGCCTCTTGAATGTACCCACCGGGAGAAGGCCAACATGACTTGGCGGCTCGGGCATTGGCCTGGGTTTGACACTCGAATAACTGTGCTTCACATAACAGTGTTTAACAGAACACCGATAAGAGCAGAGCGAGTATCATAGCAACTCGTCGCCTGTGCTCCTGTCTTGGTTTGATGCGAAGAATTGCCGACTCATTTAGGGTGCTGAGACTGTCGGTTTGATGAGCTGATCAATTTCACATGAGGATGGCATGTTTGGTCAATCCACTGACATAGACATAAGTCTTGTTACAATCCGGTAAGGTGCATTCAAAATGCCTTTCTTGGACCCCCGTTGCTGTGCTGCTGGGGGATCTCTGCTGTTTTTTCAGTTCCTTTGATACTTTCAGTTCTTTCATAATTTTCACCGCTATCGGAGGTCAGGACCGAGCGAGGGCTCTGAGTGATTGTCTCTGAGATGCCTGTTTTTTTTTTTTGCTATGAAAAATTCTGTCAGTTTTGATAGCTCATTGAATTGTTTACGAACTTCTGTCAATAGCATTTGCTTTAAAACCTCCACTATTCGTGAACTTAAGTTAAGTTATCAGGTTGAGTGGTCCTGGTAACACTGTCGTGAGCCCATAATTGTCAAAACAGCACATAGCTGCCTTATCCAATCTTTTTGCCAAACCTTAGCTCCTTCCAGTAGTTCATTCATTCTACCGACTCCGATGTTTTTAAAGGGAGCATACAGTTGAGCCCTTCGCCTGCATAGTTGGCATGCGACTGGCGTAGTTTGTACTTTTTCTTGTAATTCCTTTACTCTTATGTCGTTTCACTGTTCTAGCCTTTGACACATTCTTTTAGCGCGGTGTATAACCGCCTCTACTCTACCAAAATCAATAGATCTGATAATAAGGGACTTTAAGCCGTATAAAGAGACAGACTTCAGGAAAGTTTCGATGAGGAGACCCTTGTTCCTTAGTGTCAGTCTTTTTGACACTGGGACTGGTCTAAGACGTAGCATTGATATCTTTGTCTTAGAAATGCGAGCGCTGATAGCCTTGTCAGTGCTGCCATCAGATGATAGAATGCTGCCCAGGTACCCAAAGTGAGCAATCTGTTCAACCTGAGCACATTGGTGGGGACATACGTATTGTATTTTCTTTGGCGTTGATTACAATACTCAATTTTTCTCGGCAGATATTTCTAGCTGAGCCAATCCAAAAGTTTTTGTCATCTCATTCAGCGACTTTGTAGCATTTGCTTGGTTGTCGGAAATCAGTGCCAGATCAGCAGCATATGCAAGTTTTCTTGTCTCTCCAATGGTCTTACTTCTTTCTTAGGAGGAAGTCAAAAGAATGATAAACAACAATTGACCCAAATTGCACCGTTGCCGCGTTCCTCAATTCACTCTAAAAATGAAATTCTTATCAAGGTTACCGATCGGCTTAGTACGGATTCCAAAATCATCCAGGTGGGATCTCGTGGGATTCCAAAATCATCCAGGGCAATAAACAAATCTTCCCTATCGATAGAATCTAAAGCTTTTGCAGGTCGATGAAAGTCATACGGCTAATTGCTCTTGGCTGATCAATCAGAGGATGAGATCCAACTTCACGGCTGGGGATGCCATGGTTCATTACTCTGTAGGGATCAGTGTAGATGCAATCAACCCGCTTTTCACCTTTTTCTTTATCGGGGCTAGTAGGACTGTAGTAAACGTTTACTTTGAATGTCTCACTACTAATTCCACTTTTCACTAATTCACGTTTTCTACCAAGATCACAGACTCAGTCGGAGTTCAAGCGGGTCTCGTATCTTCCCAGGACGTCGCAACGCGGCTCCCCGATCCATTGTTCTAACTCAATTCTTTCAATTCCTTTAAAGGTCCTATAATTGCAAGTTCCAAACTCCCACGTGTGCTGCCTTATAAAAACTTTGTTTGGCCCGGTCGCTCCTTTTTCCGATTGGTTTCTCGTTGGTTTGAATGTAGGTAGCTTTTCTACGGTTATGGCTTACTAGACGGTATTAGCCATGCTCAGTTAAACACCGAGTAGGCGTTTTGCAAATCAGTGTTTAGCAGCATACAGACTTTGGTCCTAGACTTCTGTTCTTCAGTGACGTATACGTTGCCGTTTTCTTACAGCCGATTTTGTAATAATTTTGTTTGATTTTGTTTTTGCGGTTAAAAGGGTTCATCATATGTTATAAAGGCTTCGTCGTTTTTTGGTGCGCAGTTCAAAAAGCAAATTATGTTTTTGTCTATTTGCTTTTGTCTGTTTCGCTTGAAAATAATTTCCAGCTAGAATTTTTTGTCTGCAGTTTGGTTTTTCGGCTTAACGAGGGTCGAACCAATTTTTATTGCCTTGGTTGCCGCTCGTCCTTTGATTTCGACTTGTGAAGGCTACTTATGAGCAAAGTCTGGGATATAGTATGAAGTTTAAGTAGATAGAATTTTTTGGAATTTCAAGTCATTATTTCAGCTTAACTTTGTTTGAAAAAAAGAAGACTTTTTCTATTCACTATCTAGTAATGCAATGTTTTAATTGCATTGCACGTTAACATATGTTGCAGAGTTTTCATGGAAAATGTTTTTAATTTTTTTGTCAGTTTGAGGAGAGATGAGGCGTAAAAATTTTACTTAGAAAAATGTTGTAGCTAGAATACTTTTTGTCTACAATTTCGTTTTCGGCCTAACGAGGGTCGACTCATTTTTTAACCTTAGTTGCCTTGCAGGTCGATTAATGTTCTTTGCTTGTTAAGGCTGTTTATAAAATAAGTCCGAGACAAAGAAATGAAATTTTTGGAGATAGTTTTTCTGACTTTCAATTTTTTTTCAGGTTACTTTTTTTGTTTCTGAAAAAATTTCCTTTTTCTTTTTAATGTTTTATAAGGCAATGTTTTAATTGTATCGCAAATGTTGTCGATTATAACTAATTAACTACATTTTCAATTTTCAGGCGCATTTAACTGGTATGAACAATTATTTATGAAAATAAATGCGTGCTCGATGTTTGCAGTTTTAACCAATGTCAGGTGCCCTGAGTCGGGGTTTTACCACCCAGTTCAAGTTACTGCAAATATTCATTTCCTACTATGGATGTTTTCAGGCACCGCAATATTTTTAAAAAATTGCGCTAAGGCGCGTCAATTTTGAAGCCTCGTTGACCGTTGGTTCGGGTTCAGAAAAAATCATCTAAATTATGTAAATTGATGTGAGTTTTTTTCACTCGTAGGTTTCCTTAGGCACCGGAGGAACAGTGTCTGTTTTTAAATTTTAGATAATTTAGTTTGGCCTTAATACCAATTCAGATACATACTAGAACAAGTGCAGCCGGTTGCTGGGCAAGTATCACTGAAAGTTCCGAATACAATTATGCTTGCAAAAAAAATAACAAAAATCAAAGGAACTCTTTAATAACAGCGGTATAAACAGAAAATAAATTGGTAGATATTAAGTTCGACTCGGTTTCATTTTTGGCTTTGTCGGGTTTTTAACGTTTTTTAAAAGCTATTATTATCTTATGTTTGCAGCTTTTTACCCTCAAAAGTTCGAAATTTTGGAATTATAATAATGTGATTGCCTTATTTTACTGTGGTCGGAACATTCTGTGCTACTTGCACAGATAGCTTAAGAGATACGGATTAGCCTTCATGAAGTTTGGAATTAATTTGATTGAATTTTTACTTGCGTTTTTTGAACCGGTCAAATTTGGGACTGATGAGCAGCGTTGAGGTGGGGACCGAGGAGAAGTGGATAATCAAGCGGATTAAGCTCAATTCTCACCTTGAGATTGAGGTGCTGCTCAATTCCAATCAGTAACGCTATTCGATGTTTTTGACGGTGACAGTCAATATTGTATGATGGTTTAATCAAGGGGTCAATAGCGGTTCGCGAACTGTGGTGAAGACCCGTCATATTGTTGTTGGTTGTTTCCGTTTTGTGCACAAGAACTGTTAATTCCTGCTTTTTTTTTTACCTCAAATTGAGTAAAATTAGCTCAAAGTTCTATGTCAGTAAAGTAAACAGGTGAACCTGATCTAATTTTCTTAAATATTTCATTTTCATTTCAGACAGGTGTTGCAATTGATTTGTAATTGAACCTTTTTTGTATTCTTGTATTGATGAACTTTATATTGCTGGAAATTATTGTCTCTTCTAATATCACAAATAGAAACAAGACCTGAAATGACGACAACTGAACTTGTAGAAAATATCAGAAAAGCTTTCCGTAATGGGAGAACGAAACAAATCGAGTTCCGTTTGGAGCAACTCAATGGCCTGAGAAAGATGATCAGGGAAAATGCGGACGAGATTGCAGATGCAATTCAGAAGGACCTTGGCCGTTGTAAATCTGAAACAGCAGTGTTTGACCTCGATCTTCTGGAAGCCGATATTAATGAGGCAATCAAAAACCTGCATTATTGGACGAAACCGGAATATGTCACAAAATCTCTGATGTATACTGTGATGTCATGTTATGTGCATCGCGAACCCCTGGGAGTTGCGTTAATAATAGGTGCCTGGAACTACCCTATTCAATTGGTGGTTTTGCCACTCATAGGAGCAATAGCTGCAGGAAACTGCGCTGTCTTAAAACCCTCTGAAATCTCAAAAAACTCAGCTGAACTTATCGCTAATTTGATTCCAAAGTATCTCGATAATGAGTGCTTCAAAGTTGTTTGCGGAGGTGTAGATGAGACTACGGAATTACTAGAGCAGAAGTTTGATAAGATATTTTATACTGGAAACAATACGGTCGGAAAGATTGTGATGACAGCAGCAGCAAAACATTTGACTCCGGTCGTGCTGGAATTGGGCGGGAAGTGTCCGGTGTATGTTGCAGATGATGCAGACCTGAAGATCTCAGCCAATAGACTGGTTTGGGCTAAGATGCTTAATTGCGGGCAAACTTGTGTGGCCCCTGATTTCATACTCTGCTCCGATAAAATACAAGTGAGTGCTTTCCATGCAGTTTTGGGCACTGTTTGATTTTTATGTACATATAGACATTTAGCGGTCAAAACGTTGGAATATGTCGAACGCCTGAAAAGAAATTTATCATGATGCCTATAGATGAGGCTTAAAGTCTTGGAGCGGCTTGTCAAAGTTTTGACTTGGTTTCTTTTTATTTACCAGGTCAACACTAAATAGTTAAATATAAGTTAATGTTTTAATCAAGCGTAGCTACTATTCTGATTAACTTGATAGATCACCGCACTCTTAGCTTATATTCAACCTTATTTACCGTTCAGTTTATCATTTTGCTACCATTTTTGCTGCCATTGGAGAAATAAGTATCTAATTTGTGCTCAAAATGGCAGCTGAAACGGTCTCGGATTTGCGGAAGGCGTTTAGAAGCGGTAAAACGAAAGACATTGAGTATAGAATTGAACAGTTGACTGCTTTGAAAAAGCTGATTAACGAAAACGTTGAGGCTTTGACCAATGCAGTGTTCAAAGATCTGGGCAAGTGCAAAACTGAATCGATGCTATTCGAAATTGACATGTTGGAAACAGAAATCGAGGAATGCTTGAAGAACATTTATAAATGGACTGCGCCTGATTATGTATCGAAAACTTTGATGTACAAACCGATGACATGTTACATCAATAAAGAACCGCTTGGTGTTGTTTTGATTATCGGGGCCTGGAATTTTCCCATAAACTTGACACTGATGCCGCTTATTGGAGCTATAGTTGCCGGCAACTGTGCTATTGTAAAGCCCTCCGAAATATCGCCAGTGACTGCTCACCTTCTGGCAGAGATGGTTCCAAAATATCTGGACCAGGAATGTTACAGGGTCGTCTGTGGCGGAGTAAAAGAAACTACTGAGATTCTAGAGGAGAGATTCGATAAGATTTTTTACACAGGAAGTGGTAACGTGGGTAAAATTGCGATGACTGCCGCGGCTAAGTTTTTGACCCCTGTAGTTCTGGAACTCGGAGGGAAGAACCCGGCGTATGTTTCTGATGATGCGGATTTAGAAATCACTGCCAACAGGATTGCATGGGCAAAGTTCACCAATTGTGGACAATTTTGTATCGCACCTGATCACATTATTTGCTCAAAAGTGGTGCAAGTAAGGATTTTGCAAGAGACTTTCTTAGTCAGGATTGTCAATTTCGCAAAATAAAAAAGCATTATCCGATTTCAGACTAATAAAGAACCGAAGTTCCTGATTTTTTTTTGCTCTTGCTGGGGTTGAGTAGTATTTTAGTAAGGTTAGATTAGGTATAGTTTTCTTGCAAAGGTTTTATCATATTTTAGGACAAGCTAGCAAACTGTTTAAAAGAATCAATTGAGTCATTCTACGGAACAGTTGTTGCTAAATCACCAGATTACGGCAGAATTGTGAACGAGCGACATTTCGAGCGAATCGAGGCGCTGCTTGAAGACAACTGCGAGATATTCTTCGGAGGCCTAAGAGATAAAGACACACTTTTCTTTTCTCCAACCATTCTGCTAAATGTCTCAAAAGATGCGAAATGTATGCAAGATGAAATATTCGGACCGATTCTTCCAATAGTGACAGTTGAAAGCGAAGAGGAAGCGCTGGAGTTCGTGAATTCTCGGCCGAAGCCTCTCAGTTTGTATCTGTTCACTTCGTCTGGCGAAAGGATTCGTAAGTGGCGAAATGAGACTTCGAGTGGATCCTTCGCTGCTAATGACTGTGTCATCCAAGGAGGTATGGTTTGTACTAATCGAGATCGTCTAGTTCTTTTTAATTGACGAAAGGATAAACAAAAAAAGATCCATTTAACTTTTTAAAATTGAAATCAACTGGCTGAGAATACATCTCAATTGCTAAAAGAGCTCATTAACATCGTATGTGAATTGATTCATTTTCTGCTATTTACGCTTGCGATTAGCAAGCATGATCAAATCGGAGTATATCTTTTTTCGAGTTAACAACTTATTTAACATAATTACTTGTAATTTGGTTCTTGATTAAGTCAAATTATTATGCGGCTTCAGCATTTAGCCTGGAGGAGACAAAAACACCTGGGACGGCAAAGTTGATGGGTTCGAATCTGACCAGGAACTTTTTTTTTCAAACTGGAAAAATTCTTTTCCAAAAAATGTCGGCCTATTGTTTGTCTGCTTGTGTTTTGTCGACTTAGTTGACATATAGCAAAATTGATTTTTTATATACACAGTTTTCAAGGTATTTGCTTTTAGTTCTTCGGATTACATCTGCAATTTGTACTTTTACTAGTCTCGAGTAAATATTTTATTCGACTTAAATGATTGAGGGGTATATTTTATCGGCTAAGGGACCTAATTTGGAGTCGGTTTATGGAAAGCATAAGTTTTATGCTTAGTTACGGATCGAACAAAATGCTAAAATTCTTAGAATAGAATTTATAGTTCAAAGTTTTTATTGACAACAATTATTTTTGGTTCTACGGGAAATGATTCAAGTTTTGTCGGTTTAATTGCCGCTTGTTATTTATATTTTGGACTTTCATCAATCGCCGTCGGTCGTGTTTTTGAAAGTGTTTTTCGCAATTAGAACATGATTCCAGACAACCTTTTGAATTGTTTTGGTTGTGGTTTTTTTGGTTGTGGTTGTTTTGGTTGCTAAAATAGCCAAAAAAGCATCCATTAAGGGTCTATCTGCGATTATTTTTTTTGAGCTTAGTGAGTATGTTACGTTTCTGCTTCTTTTCCTTTTACCCAACTGCGAATTTTTAAAAGTTACTTTTCGGTTTTCATAGTCCGGGTGATACAAAATTTGTCATGCGGTCTAATCAGACTGACGATTATATTCGGTTCTCATACCTAACCTTGGAAAACTCTCGCCATAAAATTGATACTTATGAGAGAGGTGATTTCACCTTCTACATTTGGTGTCAGATTTAGTCCTGCACACAATCCGACCTAATGTTTGATTGCCAAATATGTATGTTGTCTTACCTGGATGTGTAGTCTACAGAACTAAAAAAAAAATAGTCGTACTAGGATCTTCCGTTCTGTTACTCAGGTTAATCAGCGGTTGGCTGATGTTTGGCTGATTAGAATACAAGCTATTTAATTTAGTGGCATCATGTATATTTAACCAAGCGGTAATTTTTAACTGATATGTTTGTGAAAAAAGTGGCGTTGTTTAGGTCTGTCGACGCTTCCCTTCGGAGGTGTTGGTCCCAGTGGAACAGGAAACTATCACGGGAAGTTCTCTTTCGAAGCATTCACACATCAGAAGTCGTGTCTGGAGGCACCTCTTCGACTGGTGGAGGGAGCCAATCACCGAATGAGATACCCGCCCTATACTGAGAGGAAGTTGGCGTGGGCCAGATGGATCATCTTTGGAAAAGGAGGCTCGTGTAATATTTTATGAAGATGATAGATAGCGACAGCTAAATTAAACGAGATAAAATTAATGCCCGAAATAAAATTGATAGATAAATTAAATAAGATAAATTGACATTTTTGACTGAAGTGGAAGAAAAGGCGATGTGAATTCTACCTCCAGAAATTCCTGAGAATCACCTTAAAGGCTATATTAGAAATTTAAGTTTGAGAAAAATTGCATTACTTAGTACATCGGATACGAATTGTGCTGCAGATTGCTCCCTTGATTTGGTAGTGTGTCATTTTGAAACGCTATGCCTGTATTATCATTTGTTTTGCATATTTTGAGACGCGATTGGCTGGAAATGGTTGCATATACAAAACAGTCCCATACTAAAAAGTCAAATATAATACAGTGCGAAAACAGTTTTTTGACCTTGATCTATTGACGCTGACAAAATTGTTGCGCTTTGAACGTCAAATGTGATGAGCATTAATAACGACAGAAGAACCAAAAGTTGAACGAAAAACAAAATTTGTTTGGGTTTTCAAAATGCCTTAGGTCAGTGTAGTAGTAGTAGAACACGATTTAGGGTTGTTATCCCATGGGTTTGCACCCAAAATGTAGTTTTAGTGTTAATGAGTTCTGAGTTTTCCATTTGGGTTAAAGTTTCCACATGGACACATTATTCGCCATGTGCAGCTGTCCATTTCTGAGTATCTTTCGAAGAATTTCCAATAAATTTCCGCTAGGTCAGATTTCTGTATGTCAGTTAACTGTTTTGAGGTATGTCGAATTATGACATTGAAAAGTGCTGGGCATCTAATGAAGATGTCTGAGTTGGTTTTCTTAAGGCGAGTTTTCGGTATTTGATATTCGTTTCTTTCATTTTGTCTCGTTGAGCTTTTGGTGTTTTCGGCATATTGGTTAATGTCCATTTCGTAGTTATTGCGAACTATAGAAATGAACAGAAGGAGGTCGTGCATTTCAATGTACATAAACATCGGTAGCATTCTTAATTTTTGTAGTCTACACTTATATGGGATATGTGAGTTAAGCATCCATTTGGTCGCCGTTCGCTGAACCTTTTCAATTGCTCGGAGGTTTGATTTCGAGTAGTGCGCTACTGACGCGCTATAAACTACAATTGAGACTACATATCCCGTGTAGGCATTTAGCTTAGAAGTTATAGGACAGTTTTTTGAGAGGTTACGCTTTAGTGAGTAAAAAGCCGACTTCTGACAACGCTTAGACGCATTTACATTCCATGAGAGAGTGGGTGTTACTAAAATTCCTAGATCCTTTTGTTCAGTTTCGATTTTTAGGATATTTTCATTAATTTGACCTTCCTGCTCGTTTTTGAAATTAACGAGAGTACATTTTCCGGTATTTAGACGCATTTGGTTTTTAACGCACCAGTTTTCAATTGTCGTAGTGGCATAGTTCATTTCTGTTTGAGTTGTTGCTATAACCTTAAAGTCATCCGCATATCCAAAAGAGTCAACTAGATTCAAGTTATCTGGTAAATCGTTTATACATAGTATGAAAAGTAATGGTCCCAATAGAGAACCTTGAGGGACACCACTTGTTACGTAACATATCTTAGACTTTGCTTTGTTGATTCGCACATACTGTTTTCGAAGAAATAAGTAAGAGGCTATTAGTTGAATTGCTTTTCCTCCAAAACCATAACACTTCAATTTATGCATTAAAAGTTGATGCGGAACGCAGTCAAAAGCTTTTTCAAAATCTAGATAGAGCGCTGTTATATTTTTGGTCGTTTGGTCATCATAATTTAGGTATACTTGATGTAAGTAAGCACGGAGTTGGTAATTGCTGAACGTTTTTTACGAAAACCATATTGAGAGTTATGAAGATGATATCGCACTCTTTCGTAAATGTAGTCAAATACAACCTTTTCGAAAATTTTTGAGATGCAGCATAGTAAACTTATCGGTCTGTATCTTTTAATATCGCATTTGTTCCCATCTTTGAAGATTGGGACAACTTCACTTAACTTACACGTTTCTGGAAATATACCTTTTTTCAAAAAAGTTAGAAAAATAGGAGGACTGATTTTGATACTGTTTTCGCTAAGTTTCTGTAGACAAGATTTCCCAAATTATCTGGACCTGTTGCTTTATTGATGCCTAGTTCGAGCATTATTTTCTCAATGCAATCTTTATTCAGCTCGATGTAGTTGTATTTGCTTTTTCAAAGATACTTAATTCGGTTATTTGTTCCGCTTTCGTAAATACACTACAGAAGAATTGATTAAACGCATCGCATTTTTCTTTGTCTGTCTTAAGTTCTTTGCCGTCAAGTTTCATTATCGAAGGTAATCTAGGTGCTCTTCTTATGCTTGGCAAATACTTCTGAATTGTACTAAATTTTCTTGGTGCAAAAATCTGTAATTCGTAGTTTTTCAGATCTTTACCAGCAGAAATTTTTATTTTTTCTAAGTTTGTAGTTTTAGATAGAAGTTCTGGTTTCGGACAGGATTGCTGTTTCCGAAGTAAAGTTTCTTTGCGCTTAATAAGGTGGGAGGTTGGGGGTGTGATCCAAGGGGGGAGTGTAGCTCTATGTTCTGTTACTCTAGGTATATTTTTTTCCAGAATTCTCAAAAGCCAGGTGTACCATTGATCAAGTAAAAAATCGCAGTTACTAAAGCAAAACGGTGTGAAGGGATTATTGATTATTGTAGTGTTGATTGCACTCCAATCTGCTCTTTCGAATGCATATTTTACTTTGTCATCACTTCTTGTTACAATTAGCCTGTGGTTCAGATTGATTTCTGTTGTAAAGGCATTGTGATCACTGAGGTTCTTATTTTCTATTGAATACATTTTAAAAACATTTTCATCAATGAATGAGTTAATGATTAGGGAGGGGTTGTTGACTAGGAAAATATCTAAGCTTTTTGCTGTTTCAGGTGCCAATATTTGTTCAAAATTGTGATCAATTAAGGTTTCAAGGATTAGATCTTCCTCGGGATCATCTGATGCCATTGCTTTCCAGTCAGTTTTCGAAAAATTTATATCTCCAGTTATCATTATTTTTTCACAATTCAAGTCTTTTGCAGTTGCACTAATTTTGGTTAGAAAATCAACAATAGAAAAGGCTGTTGGTCTATGTGGGCTATCTTTTGGTGTGTAATTAACACAGCAAATGAGAGAGGATATATTTTCGAAATCAATTAGTCTCAATGTAACTTGTTCAATATTTGAGTTTATCGGTACATGTGAGTTGTTTCTGATGGCAATTAAGACACCGCCATGTTTCGTGTTGTAATTTTTGGATGGTCGATCACATCTGTATATTTTGAATTCTGGTATGAAAAGAGTTTCGGATCTTACTTCATCAGTCAGCCATGTTTCAGTTAGGCATAAAATATCATGTTTATTTGAAAGACAGACTGCATTTGCTGAACAAGTTCGCCGTGACATTTCTATTAAACTTCTTACATTAAAGGTGAGTATTGTTGATACCAGTTTTTGTTTTTGGGGTAGTCAGGCTGAATTGTCATCGGGTTTTACCTCTAACCAGCCGTTTTCAATTTTTCTAATTAATTTTAGATTTCTTAGTCGCAGTTGTGTGCTCTCGAATTTTCCGGATTGAATGAGATCACGTCTTGTTTTAAGCATGTTGTTTTCGATTTCCTGTTCATCAGGTGTTAGCTCTTTGCTTATGAATACTTTGTGTTCGTAGCCTTTGAGCTTGTATAGAGAAAGAAGGATTCTTCGTTTCTCCCATGGCGCAGAGGTTCTTAGAACTAACGGAAGATTTTTATTTTCCGCGTATTTTCCGAGTCTTCTGAGATCACTTATTGGGCACTTGACGTCCATCACATCAAGATGATGAATCACTTTTTGCATATCTTCGTCTGCTCTTGACCTGGCGTCTGTTGCCTCTGACTCGGGTATGCCTCTTATGCGTATGCCATCGTATTCTTTTTGGGATGCTTTCCCGTTTTTGGTTGTGGGTTTTTTCGCTTCTGGCGCAACTTGTTTTTGTTGCATTTCTGATTTGATTTCAATCATCGCTTCCTTGAGTTCTTTGATGCCTTCTTCGATTGTTTGTATTTTTTGAGTGCTTTCATTCGCATGTTTAGTATTAATAATTGCATCCTTCTGGTTATTTCCCACACATCTGTTACATAACAGAAGAACATTCTTGTTCAGTTGTTTCAATACGTTTATGGCATTTTTTTCCAAGTCTGTACAGTTTGTAGTCATGTGCATACTTTCGCCACATGACACACAGTTATATACTGCGTCTCTTTTGTTTAGGGATTTTGAGCATGTTTTGCATCTTTTGTTATTTTCCATTTTAGAACTCATTTATTTGGGGCTGTTTGAATGTTTTTTTTGGGGATATGTTTTGTTGTGATTTACTATAGGGCTACCAGCTGGTAGCGGTATTTAGATGAGAAGTCACTTCTCGTCGTGGAACCCGTTAGGAGTTCCGAGAGCTTGAGATGACCTAAAGATAGAAAAATTAGCAAGTCCATAACAGTGGAACCCGTATTGGGGTTCCGAGAGCTATAAACTTACTTAGAGAGGCTTGTAGGTTCCGCAATTGCACCACTGACTGCAGTGAAATACTTCTGGGTGCTTGTCTCGGGATGTTTCCAAAGACCACTTTGATCGCAGAACGTTGTTTTTCAGGATTCATGGGTTATGTGAACGTCGTCGTTTGCGATATCGGCGTCACAGTATACTTCTATAGACCCAAGTATCTCCTATGGCCTCGCGCTGAATAATTTTGTCTACCTCGAGATGGCGATCTGTTATGTCGTTGGTCAATTTATCAACTCGTGGGGGGATGCCTAACACGTATACCCTTTCGCACAGATGAGATAGTTGCTTAGCAAGTTTTGCTAACTCTTTTCCAATGTCTTCGGGATCGCGTGCTGAGGGTTGGGTACCGTTGAAAATGTCGTTTCCGCCAATAAATAAACAGATTATTTCGTACTGACCTTTAGTTGGTAAATGATACTGTACGTGAAAGATCCTACCTCCAGGAACTGACAGAATGTTGAAGTTCGGGAACACTAGTCTCTTCGCCTGTGAGTCAGCAATCAATAAGTGTTTCGTCTCGGATGTTTTGAAGATGTGCGCTTTCATAACATACAGGGTCTTGTCTTTAAAAATCTCTCATTGGAGATACTCCACACAAGACCGATGCCATATAACATGAAACTATTTAACAAGTTTACTATTTAATAAGTAGACATCGGACCTAATTCTAGAGATCAAAGAAATGTATCCCCGGCAGTACATATAATTTTTGTGAAAACATTGAAGTTTATGTCAATCCGAAAACGGGCCAATCAAGGGTACTTGAATAGGGCTCAGCCTGTGAGGGCGGATATGAAAAGTAATAAACATCTGATAAGTACCCATCATATTGCCAGTTTCAAATAGCCACTAGCTCAATTTTGAAAAATTCTCTACTTGACCCAAAGATGATTTCACTTGCAAACTTTTCGCAAAAATAAAATGTTCTTGAAAAAAAACAACTTGTGCCCAATGCCAATTTTGACGGTCCCTCCTAACGACCAAAACCAGGACCTGATTTTTTCAACAATTTGGTTTCCTACGAGTGATACGCACGCGATTCGCCGCAATAACTTGTCAAAAATGCAACGAGCGATTTATGAGATTTTATAGACGTTTAAAGAGCTCGAAACAGAACGTCTGAAAGAAAATAACGCAGATGGTCAATGGTTTTTCAGCAGTTTTCTTGGGAAAATACTTGTCAGAAAAAAGAGGGGTTAGAAGAACTCCGGGTACTAAATATGGAACTTTTTGCGAGGAACCGTTTCGACGTAGGTTAAAACACAGAGTATAAAAAATTAACACCAGAAAATTCACTACCAGTATACGCTGTTGACTAGCAAATTGAATAAGCACTCATGCAATGCAAAAGCTTTTTAACAACACTTCCTAATTCACGTATAGTAGCCCATTTTTTGGCCACACAAACAGCGGTAAGCTTAGGCTTTTAGTCGATCTTGAACGTATTAACTTCTTCGTCACGGAGCGTGCATGAAAAACTTTGCCAAAGACCTCCACGTGAAAGATGACCTACTATTTCTCGACAACAAACTAGTCGTACCAGCCGTACCACAAATTTCTCCAGCCGTAACACTATTTCTCGACAACAAACTAGTCGTACCAGAGAAGTCCTGAAGTCAATGCTTGAAAGCTGGTAAGAACCTCAAAGTTTTGCTAGGTGCCGACAACAATAAAAAACTGCCGACTTTGACATTTGCCAATGAAGAAACAAACTGGATTTCGCAGGACCGTTGGACGCGTTCTGGGGAAAAAAATTACATTCTTCTATGTATCGACCGATTCACTAAATTCCCATCGGCCAAGATCGTAAATAACACGTCCGCGAATAATGTGATTTCTTTCTCAAACGACTACTGCCACCTTCACGGTTTCCCAAGGAAAATAAGAGTCGACCACTGGTCTTGCTTTTTTCCAACGATTTTAAGATTTTCTGCGAAAAATTCAACATCGAGATCATTTTTTGTACAGTCGGCGACCATAGATCCAATGGGCTGGTGTAAAGATTAATTTATACGATGAAATCCAAGTTACTGGCAATGTCATTCGAGTTACCTAAACCTTCTCTAAACTCCTCGATCGAAAAAATGGGAACTGTGAACTGCACGATGGGGCGGAAGACGCGTATCTCGAAGAAAAGAAAGACAGCCCATGAGACCCGGAAGACAGCTTACCGCTACCGCAAGCAATCTCGAGCACAATCACACCAATGTGCCAATTACTTAAAAAAGGTAAAACGGATAAAATAGAGTGTTAATTTAAAACGTTCTAAAAGGACAACTGAACGAACACTCTACGATCGACCGATGATCGTATCGAACTAAGTTAACTGGTTTTTAATTAAGAGTGAGTCCAGGCCTAATTTAGCCTAATTGTTGTGATAAACTTTTTAAATAGATCAATCAAACAATGTCTGATGATGAAAATAACATGCGTCACGGGGCGTCAGTTGACGTTGATTGTACACAAGACGTTTGGGGCATTAGATCTCTTCCTGCTCTTGACAATGCATGGCCACGGAAACATCGACGCTTGATCTGTCCAGTGTAACAAAATCACTGGCCTGGTTGAAGCTCATTTCCACGGGGTCTGTGTCAAGTGTGCCTCCGGATCCTCCCAAAGTTTTGGAAATATTTTCAGGTACAACTACATTTGGCCGCGGAGCTTCTGACTACCAATTCAAACTTCCGTCGCTGTCGAGTAACCACGCGGTTATTGAGAACATAGACTTCGGAGGAGTGAGGAGACTCTTCGGGGTTCGCGATCTGGGCAGCCGAAATGGAACATTCGTCAACAAGAAACGACTGGGGAAGAAACTGAAAGTTCTAGAAGATGGAAATCACGTTCGCTTTGGAGATGTCGAGCTGCTGTTCACTAGCAAAGCGACAAAGAAAAGCGAACATGCAGTAGCTGTCTGGATCAACGATTATTTCTAATTGACGTTATCAAGTCGAAAACGTAAACTTCCAGGCGCTTCATCAAGGACACCGATCAGAAACGGAGAACTACAAATGTTACCCGGAAGTGCAATTGTCTGCATCGTCGGGAGCCAAAAAAGCGACTGTTCCAGATAGCAGAAATAGACACCAATTGTTTTTTGTGGATTCACCGCGAGCTTCGCTAAATGTTTTCGATGATTCGGCTTAGAATCTGATTATTTTGAATTCTTTCGACTGAAGTAGTAAACGTTTAGTAGAAGAGACGTTTTGTGACATTGACCCTGATAATGCGGAAGACAATGAAGATGACAATCAGGATGATGAGAAGATAGTTTGTCCGAATGGTTCGGCTGAAGTGAATTTGAACAACTTCAAGTTCAAAGGTGAGCAAAATAGTAAGAGCATATCGGTTCCGGGTAATTCGTCCAAAAGCAATAGTTTACAACTAAAAGACTTCAATTTCGAATCGAAATTGGAAAAGGACAGAGGAATAAGTCTGCATCAAAGTCTGTTTCTTCGAAATAATCTAAACGAGGTGAAGGAGTCTCCGTTAGTAAAATTAGTTGAAAGATCTTCCTATGAGTCCATTAGCATAGCGGAATCTCCGCCAGCAGACGACACTGTGATTGTGAGCGAGACCATGTCGTCGAATGACAATTTAGCTTTGATGTCTCCGAATAGTAGAAATGCGTTTTTCAAGAAGCCGATGTATGTAAAAAAAACAGAGGAGTCGAGCTCGTTTGTAAATAGTGATTACTGAAACTTGTTTCGACCAGTATGTGATGTTAGATTTCGATGAAATATTGCATTGAGGTAGAGGCAAAAGAAAAAATGGAAACTGAAATAAGTGAAAATACACCTAAAAAGGACAAAAGTGAACTTGCTTTAAGTCCACAAAGCTCCCCTACATCTCCATCGATGCTAATGTTGCCGCAAAACGACGGAAAGTTTTCAGACCAAAGCAAAGACCCATTAGTTTTTCCTGTTCTGAGCGAGGATAAAACTCAGGATGAAACTGGCGACGAAGATTTTGCGCGGGAAGAAGAACGGGTGAAGTCAACCCTGAAGATGTTATTTGTGAACAAGAAACGTTAGATCCTTTAGGAGCATTTAAATCAGAGCTTGAACATGAGGTAAAAATAGCTGAAATCGAAACCGTGAACGAAAAAGCTTCTGAGGTTCAGCATGGTGAAATTAAAGCAAAAATTGTGGAAAAGGACGCGAAACGTGTCGATGTTTTTTTTTTCGACTCGGAAGAAGAGGTTTCAGTCGACTGAGTTCATCCTTGGTTGAATCTGATTTTTCAGACGATGAAGGTGATGAGTAGAATTCAATTATGACATCGAGTCAACGAGAGTTGGCCCATAGAACTATTTTGTCGATTAACACTCCAATGAAACATAGATTGAAGAATCGAGCAGCGACAACTGTTTACCAAGGAAAATTAGAGTCGACAACTGGTCTCTCTTTTCAACGATTTTAAGATTTTCTGCGAAAAATTCAACATCGAGATCATTTTTTGAACAGTCGGCGACCATAGATCCAATGGGCTGGTGGAAAGATTAATTTATACGATAAAATCCAAGTTACTGGCAATGTCATTCGAGTTACCTAAACCTTCTCTAAACTCCTCGATCGAAAAAATGGGAACTGTGAACTGCACGATGGGGCGGAAGACGGGTATCTCGAAGAAGAGAAAGACAGCCCATGAGACCCGGTAGACAGCTTACCGCTACCGCAAGCAATCTCGAGCACAATCACACCAATGTGCCACAATTACTTAAAAAAGGTAGAACGGATAAGATAGTGTTAATTTAAAACGTTCTAAAAGGACAACTGAATGAACACTCTACGATCGACCGATGATCGTATCGAACTAAGTTAACTGGTTTTTAATTAAGAGTGAGTCCAGGCCTAATTTAGCCTAATTGTTGTGATAAACTTTGTAAATAGATCAATCAAACAATGTCTGATGATGAAAATAACATGCGTCACGGGGCGTCAGTTGACGTTGATTGTACACAGGACGTTTGGGGCATTAGATCTCTTCCTGCTCTTGACAATGCATGGCCACGGAAACATCGACGCTTGATCTGTCCAGTGTAACAAAATCACTGGCCTGGTTGAAGCTCATTTCCACGGGGTCTGTGTCAAGTGTGCCTCCGGATCCTCCCAAAGTTTTGGAAATATTTTCAGGTACAACTACATTTGGCCGTGGAGCTTCTGACTACCAATTCAAGCTTCCGTCGCTGTCGAGTAACCACGCGGTTATTGAGAACATAGACTTCGGAGGAGTGAGGAGACTCTTCGGGGTTCGCGATCTGGGCAGCCGAAATGGAACATTCGTCAACAAGAAACGACTGGGGAAGAAACTGAAAGTTCTAGAAGATGGAGATCACGTTCGCTTTGGAGATGTCGAGCTGCTGTTCACTAGCAAAGCGACAAAGAAAAGCGAACATGCAGTAGCTGTCTGGATCAACGATTATTTCTAATTGACGTTGTCAAGTCGAAAACGTAAACTTCCAGGCGCTTCATCAAGGACACCGATCAGAAACGGAGAACTACAAATGTTACCCGGAAGTGCAATTGTCTGCATCGTCGGGAGCCAAAAAAGCGACTGTTCCAGATAGCAGAAATAGACACCCATTGGTTTTTGTGGATTCACTGCGAGCTTCGCTAAATGTTTTCGATGATTCGGCTTAGAATCTGATTAT